AAATGCTATATTTGGAAAAGCCTTCATGATTAATTTTTGTGGGAAGGATGGGTGTGAAAACACACTGCAGTTTGTTCTAGGAAGCTTTAGGACGTGCAAATATAATTTTTCAAAGAGTATATTTTGCAAAAAAAAATAATGTAGTTAAAATCTACAAAAGTTTAACAGGGAGGCAGTGTTGACTAGTAGATAGAGAAGACTGGGACTCTGGAAAATTGGGCTCTATTTTTCCTGTCTGCGACAGATTTGCTTTGTGATGCTTGACAGGTCAGTTCATTGCTTTATGCCTCAGATTCCCCATCTGTAAAATGAAAATACATTTGTAAAATTATTTGAGATCTTTAAATGAAAGCTGCTTTGTAAGTGCAGAATGTTATCACAAATATCATGAAGTGCAATTCTAGCATGAACCAATTGCAATTCTAGTTGCAATCAAACATCTCAGAGCCTACCTACCCCAATCCTCTTTATGGCTTTTAAATCCAAGTGAAGAGGTTCTGGACCCATTATTGATCAGCATTGTTTGTTTCTTTAGACAGGTCAAACTGCCAGCAATGCTTTTAAACAAATAGTAGTTATATCCTGACTCAAGCACTAATATTTGGACATGAACAAATTTGGAGATTATCCTTCTGCCTGAAGCCTCCCATTTTAGAGAATGATACTGAGAATGTGGTAAAGGTCCCACTCATACCTATACTCTGATTCCACAGATTTCTCTCATCTCTTTCAGTCTGCTGTCTGTCCTGGAGCACAGCAAGAGACTGTAATGATAGTGATGCTTGAACTGCTTTTAACCATGAATATGGGCAAGGTGTCCATGAGGACTTTATTACACCTCTTACCAGCTTGATACTATTGGCAATAGGTAATGTTGACTTGATTGTGGGGTCTGGTAGTGGTGGACTTAATAGCACTTCTGCAGCTTTGTTCCTTTCTCTCAGAGAGCCTGTCAAATGACACTATCATCTGCTGCTTTGGCACCTTAGTGGCTGAATTTCAAGTTCTCCAAAAATTAGTCAGGCATTCTGCTGCCCACCCCTTGGATAACTGCTCACACACACCCCCCACCTGCCCCCCCCTTTTCTTATTACTTGATACGAAGCAGCTGGAGTCAGGGCACTTTGTTCCTTCTCTTCTCCCCAAAAGGAAAAAAATCCCCAAACACCACCACCTTTCATGTGACATTTGGTTCTTTTTTTCTCTCCAGGGTTTGCTGAAATATCATCACCCTGATCATGTCCCTGCCTCCTGCTGCAGTCCACTGAGAATGAGTCCACTTAGCATGCTCTATTATGAAGAGGGATGGGTTACAATAGGCCACCATGAGGACATGATTGTAGAAGAGTGTGGCTGTCACTGAGGAAACTGCAGAGCTCTGTCCATGCTTTAGTTCTAGAGATAGGGGTTGGAGCCCCCTTTGAATATTTGCAAAGTTAAGGACACAAGGGCTGTCTTGTTCATGGTAGTCTACTGCAGCCATCTGAAAAGTTACACAGCATTTTTGACAAGGGAAAAAGGAAATTCCCTACTAGTACGTGGAAAAGATGACAAGCTGTGCCAAACCCTAGTACTTCTTTCAGTTACCAAAACAACTCAAATCAAAGTATATACAAATATATATTTACCTCTTGGTGTATAACCATAGCTATTGAAATCAGGTAGCTGAAATGCAAATTGCTGTGCCATCTGTGACTAGCTGTCTTGATTTCAGGATGAATTACACTGGAAATGAACTGGTAAAACAAATGTTTGTCATACGGCTGCACAGGCAACTTGAGTGTGTTTCTTGTGCAGGAATATAATTGCAACTCTATCCGGTAAAGCTATCTCTGGTCTTCAAATAAAGATGAGAACAATGATGTTTAATCCTGCTTATTCTGAGCTCAGAGTCCAGGCTAGCAGTGAATTTTAGCACCTCAGTAGTAAGTACCTCACACTGAGTGACATAACTTTTGATCTATGACGGAGTTCTCAAACTCTTCTAAAGCATGGACCATGTCTTAAGTCATATCATCTCAGGACACCACTCCTCCCATTTGTGCTCTCGCTGCCCATCTCATGCTTATCATCCCTGTGCCTGGGGTGCTGGAGCTGGGGGCACAACAGCACCCCTTTCAAAGTAATAGCCATTGAGTGCTTTACAATTTTGTTTGGTGGCTTTCAGCACCCCCACTATAAAAGCTGCCCCAGCGCCGCCATCTCTATGGCAACCACTGCAGTTGTTTAAAGGGGAAAATAAGAGGAGAGTATTTATATATTTTTCTCTTTAGTGCAAGGTATTCTTTTTTTGAAAAATCATTTTTCTTCTTTCCTTTCCATCTCTACTGTTTCTCTCTCACATTGCTTATGCATTTCTGCTACCTAATCCCTCCTCTCCGACAGCATGATTCCGTTGCCTTGTCAGCCTGGGGGTCAGCATCCTGAGTGGGCAGAGTAGCACAGAGGCAGAGCTATGGGTCAGGCTCAGAAACATGGGAAATGCAGTGCCAATCATGCAGCCACCTGGGCTTCATACCACTTAGCCACTCTCAGAAAGTTAAGGATGCAGAAGATTGTTTGTTTTACACAGGGAAAAGCAGCTCATTCGACGTTAGCAATTCCCCTCCTCTCAAACGATGGGGAACGGATCCTATCCCAAACACGTTGCAAAGAACGAAAAGGGGCAGCAGCACAAAGGCACCCTTCCCTTCATCTTCTGCAGCTGACAATGACCAGAGAAGTGATTATTTATTATTCATCCCAAAGTATAAAAATAGTATTCCAAGTCATGTGTCTGGGTAGAGTCCCAAACCACTAGCAACCCTAGCTCCATACTTTACAATGGTGGTTCTCAACCAGAAGTCATGAACAGGTATCACAGGGTTGCAATCACTCTGTACTTTCCATAGAGCTAAATAGAAGGGAAATCCCAGGGCAGTCCTGGTATTGTAAAGTTCAAGAACTCTTATAAAACAGTCATACACTTTATTTTCTACCCTTATTCTACACAGAACTGTTTTGTTCTTCCTGGTGTATATATATTGTTCATATATGAGTTAAACAACGGCTTCAAGGCTTAACTGGTACTTGGACTAGTAGGCACTGTTTTATAAATAGGAGACATCCTTGAAAACCAATAAAGGAATCATAAGTATTGTACATAAAATCAAACATGTGCCTATTCATGCCATTTTCTTTGTTTGGGTAAAATGTAGGCAAAGATTTTTCAAAGAGTGAACAGGCAGAAAGTGAATTGTATTTTACATAGTTGCCAGATTTGTTTGTTTACCAAAGGTCATTAAGCCCTAGTTTTAAGAACTGAAGTCCTCTTTCAGAACCTGTTCTGAGTTAGAGGGATGGCAAGTTTCTCCACCAACACCTGCAGACCTCTAAACCATTCCTGAATTCATGATTAAGGTTAAGATTATGTCATGGATATTTTTAGTAAAATTCACAGGCAGGTCATGGGCAAAAAAAAAAAAAAAAAATTCACAGAAGCTGTGACTTGTCCGTGACTTACTAAAAATATACCTGACATAATAGGGATCTGCGAATCCCCACACTGCCTGAAGTGGAGCAGCTGCACTGGGGATACAAGCTGCCTGCAGCAGCTGGGGGGATTCCCCTGCCAGGGGCTGGGGGGTTCCCCGCTGCAGGCTGGGGCTCAGGGGTTCCTCCACCACCCACGGCAGCTGGGAGCTGGAGGTTCCGCAGCAGCTGGGAACTCCTCCACAGCCACCCACAGCCTCTTGGAGCTCCATAGGCACCCCACTAGAGGCAGGTGACCCTCCAGCTGCCAACCACCGCAGGCTGAAGTCACAGAGGTCACTGGAAGTCATGGATTTCGTTACTTCCGCAACTAAATGGTAGCCTTATTCATGATCCCCCTCAAATACTTTTACTAGCTCACAGTATTTCTCTGTCCCATCAAACTTACCTTGATCACTTGTCATGTCAGATCAGTATGAGAGTCATCTTTTCACCGGAGGTCCCTCAGCACCCAAGTTCTATGTGGACTGTGGGAATGAAAGTTAAAGGTCCAAAGCAATTCTTTAAGAGTATGGGTTTGTCCCAAGTCACTGGCCAAAATTTCCTTCACCCCAGAGGTGGCTGTTCATCAGGGGATTATGCATGTAAGTGTGAGGAGTTTGGGCCTGAAGAGGAACTATCATAAATGTACTACCCTACATTGTGTCACTGTACTTACTACAGAATGTAGTGGCGTGGATCACTGCTACATTGACAACAGTGCAAATAAAAAAAGCATTAGTGGGCAGAGATGCCAGAAAGCTGCTACTCTCCCTTCCAACCATTTACTGTGATATTAAGGGGAGGGAACTAGAACATATCCAGTAGACTTGGGGGTACAATACCAAACCCAAGGAACAAATGAGTCTTTTCATCCAGAGGATGCATTAAGTGTGAACTATGAATACAAGGAAAGCCTCACTAAACTGCAACATAACTATACGAGTGCGCTTTTTAGGACTAGTGCTGCAAGTCAGGAAATAAGATCCATCCAATGCTATAACTCTAACCTTCTGCAGGCTAAAGCCCAGAGTTATTTTGAGCACTTGGCTCTGCACCATTTGCTGTGGGGTGCAAGTGACATGAATGATTGATTTATCATCAACTGCTTTTGTGGTACGCAACGAGAAGTCAATGAGCCAGGGATGAAAAGCCATAGCAAGTTAAAATGCTTCTTATGTTGTGAGCATCTAAGTTAAGTGTTGCCCAAAAGCAGCAGCAGCATCCTACTGATTAGGGAGTCCCATCCAATAATCTTCAGCTAGAAACATGAGATCCATAAGGAAGGGTGGAAAATGGATAGGAAAATCTGGCCCCCAAATGCCCCTCACCTTTCATCTGGACTTTTAAAGTTTTAACCACAAAATACTGGAAGAATCTTTAAAGAGAGCCATATGTAACTGCAAGCAAGGGGTCAATTTTTTAAAGACCCTGACTTCCTGTCACTGACCAGAAACTCATCATATAGAAAATAAAACCCAACAACATAGTTTAATATAATCAAGATCTTTATTGATCTCATAACAGCAACCATTGGTGAGAGCTTTTTTTCCAAACACCTGTTTGTTTCAAGAACAGTAAAAACTGAATTGTACAGAAGTTGCCCAATGACTTTTCAAGCAGTCTCTGCTTTTCAGCCAAAATCACATTTAAAATTGAAAGGGGATGGGGTAGGAAAGGGAGAAAAGAAGAAAGTGTCAATGGGACTTTTTAAAATTTATAAAGACTTTAAGAACAGTGAGTTTACAAATATGTCAGACACCCATGAATTGTCGTAAGATTGGTACTGTCCTCTATGCTCTCAAGACACCTTCACAACTCAGCTAAGCTGTTTCACAATGATGCAAACAGTTTTCCTATCTGAGGTGAAGAAAGGCACTGGGTCACCATCTTGCAGTGATGCAGATATAGACATGGGAAGCAGGATGGGGAAAATCACTGTTTTATTCCCAGTCAGTAGGGACCAAGGTGCTCACTGCCCTTTTTTCACTCCTGGTGTGATTAACAAAATGGTTAAAGTTCACTCCTGCTGTATGTTCCTCTTGGCTCCTGTTTTAGGTCAGTTAAATCCTTGGATTTTGGTTTTTAGAGCAGTTTTGTAGGAAGAATCACTCTGCTAGAACTGAGGCTTCACACATCCACTGTTTGCCCTTCGTATTTAGCAAAGTTAGTCTTCCTTGTGCTGCTTCATCTTTCAAAGAATCCAACAACATTTCCTGCGATTTTAAGTAAAATATATTTATTTTTATATATTTGTGTGTGGATTATGAACATCTACCTACCCACACATTTATATTTGCATACATTCTGCTCCTGCCCCCCAGTGGAGATTTCTCACTTAATGAATAGCCAACCAATTTTGCCAGATAACTTATCAGAGCATACTTCTCAACCTGCCAAACGTTCTATGTGGGATTAAGTCACAATGACGGAGGCATAGGACAAGCATCTTAAAATAATGCTGTGTAATAAGTATTTCTTTCTATAATCTCAATTTTATTATTCAGGATTTCTTAGATTAATGTACAAGAACAAAAGAAAACACATTCCATGCTCACGTGGAATGAGGGGTGAATTTAGTTTGAAGGGGCGATTTGAGAGGTGTGCTGTTGAGCTTTACAAGAGTCCCCACATATACTACATCACTCCCTCCCTACCAAAAGGCATTACAAAAACCTCCGGCATGAGTTCAGAGGAAGGGGCTGTTTTCCCTAGACGGACAACTAGGGGAAAGAATAGATAGAAGGGGGTCACTGAAAACTAGATGCTGCAACAATCTGAGTGAAACATTCATATAAAAATCAGTTATCAAAAAAGAGGCAAGCCCTGCATCTTTGATGCCAAATGAGTGCCACTACAAAACTACATTTGAGTTTAGATCATGGGGAAAATACTGATTTGTCATAAAGTGGTATTTTTCAAATGTAGCCAGGGGCAGTATTATTAACAAAGAACAGGCACTAGGAATTGTGGAAGAGCAATATTAGCTCTAAAAGGGAAGGTGCAATGGGAGGAGAATGGTGGTGAACCCAGACAAGACACCCCCCCACACTCCCAGGCTGATTTACATCAACAAGACCATCAAATTTTGGGGGTGGGGAAGGGAAAGTTACCAGTTAAAATTTACAAGGTAAATAGTTCGGAAATACAAGTGAAAAATGAAATTAAACACACACAGAATGACAGTGTCCCTGCAAAGATGCAGTACTCCTTTCTTTAGCTAAGAACAGTGGTTAACTCTTTCCCAACCAGATGTTTGGATTTTGTTGTTTGTCTCAGTGACTGGATTCTAGATGTCAACAAAAAGCCCATGTGTTCTGGGGTCATGTAGAGGTTTCCTAGATATGAATATAGAGACTGGGAAAAATTAAACAAGACAAAGACAATTATGAGGAATGTGTTTTCCTTAAGGACAGAGTCAATTCCACGTGCAAGATGATAGCAGCCTAGGGAGGATCACAGTGCCCTCTGATGGCAAAACTGGTGACCTTAAAGTATTATACCACAAGGAACCCACATGCAAGAATTACATTTGTCTTTTCAACAGCATGGAAAGAAGCCCAGTGCTGCTGACTCTAAATGATGGAACCTGAATGCAAATGGTCAAGGTACCAAAAATTTGGGATTTTTTCAGCTGATAGACTGCTAGGGAGGGGAGAAAGAAAGATGAGCTGCGCTCCATGCCACCTGGCACATTTTCTGTTCATGGTAGAAATGAGGATATGTTTAACAGCAAATAGACATGAGAGAGACACAGAAGGCTGAGTGCAGGAAAGTGCTGAGCAAGCTTCCCACACATCTGTTAATACACCTGATTTATAATAAGAATAAGTGTGTGACCAGTAGCACTTCTGGCTGCTTCCCAGCACATACTGCCAGTCATACAAAGTGCAGAAGCCCAAAACAGCCACCAGGCATGGGGTTGATACCAACAACTCATTTCATTTGAAAACTAAACCACATTTGACTCCTAATATCTAGAGATGAAAGGAGAATGCTCATTGCAAAATAGAAACCCACTGGGCAGGGTGTAACTGGAAGCTATTTTATCCTTCCCTCCTCTCCCCAAGGTCAGTTTCAGAGAACTGGCACACAGGTCCAGAGGAGAATTACTGTATTCACTGACTGAACAATTAGATGATTAAGCAGAGTTAATTCAAAATGGAAGCATGCATTAGGACTGTCACAAAGGTGCTCAGTTGCCAATACCAAAGCTTAAAAAGGAAACCACCACTTTTTTAAAGCTTTGTACACCCTGGACACTTGTGACAAAGGCTTATTGGTAATTGTCCCATAGCTCTTGGCACTGTAAATCAGCTGGCAAGTATTTTCAGAAGTGGACCTTTACTCAGACACAGAGAGGAATGCTGCTTTCAGTGTAGTCAATTCAGCACACGAACCAGCATCAAAAATAGCTACATGATACTATTTGCAAGAAGATTTAACAGATTGTTTTGGATTTAATGTCACACCTTAACCTCCCTCTAGGAAACAAAACTCCCTGGAGAAACCCTTCCCCATCCCATGCTGTAGATGGACCCTCTTCTGCAATCCGTTCTCTTAACACGGACTCCAGCACCTGTGCAGAGCCCCACTGACTTCAGTGGGGTTTCACACCAGCACAGCGATCGGTGCTGTGCAGGATTAGAGCCTGGGCTTTCACTAAAAGCATAAAACTCAAAATCAGGAAAAACTGACAATGGTTACATAGAAAATCAAGGTGAGATGACTGTCATTGTCAGATGTGAAGGTTCACTGCAGGTTTCTTTCTATATAGCATAAGTCACTATTATTCTACATCAATCAATAGGGGTCATCTTACATAAGTTGTGATCCTTCTTTCAAAGCTCTGCACGCCTTCCTCAGAGTAAAGATGAAATGAATTTAAACCTAATCAAGTCTAAACAGGCAACACTGCATCTTTGAGTTCCCTGTGTTATTGTTCAGTTTAATTCATTTTAAAAAGAAAACACAGTATTTAAACCCCTTCAAAATGAAAATCAGCATGGAGAAGGACCAAAGCAAAGCTAATGGGAAAATTGGTCATGCCAGCCAGGACAGTGGGTCATTTGAGAGGCAAGAGAGTTTTTTTGTTTGGTTTTGAAAGGTGTGATTTTTCTCAAGGCAAGGAGTGTTTAGGGGCAGGGCTGGCTCTGGGCCTGGTGCTGCTGAGGAACAATGCCCCAATGGAAAAGGCTAAGGCTAATGAAACCAAGGCAGACAGACATCTTAAAGCATTTTCTATCACCATCCACGTGTGCCCATAGCAGTCCTGGAGGGAAGGATGCAGTAACAGTACATCCATCTCCATCTTGGTTTTAAAAAAAAATGTGTCAAAATTTGATACTCATGGAAGGGAGACAAAGAGCCCTAGCTAGAGCCAGGCACAGAGTGAGACTGTTAGTTTGCCTTCAGGCAGCTCTGCCGATATCCCCCCTCAGTAGTTTCATCCTCTCTCTCTCCTGAGCAGCAGCCGCCCATCATCCCAGACTGGTCTGATCTATGCTGGGCAAGTTTTCCCAAAAAGCTTAACTGGTTTTAAAACTAGTTCAGCTAACCGATTTTGAAGCCAGTTGGAGCCGTAAGGTAGACCAGGCTCCAGACAGTTTGAACTGTTTGTTCACTGAACTGGTTTAAAAAAAAAAGAAAAAAGTGTTCTGCAGGTTGTGAAATGAATTCAGTAAAAATGGTTCAGGGCACCTGGAGTCTAATCTACATGACAGCTCCAGCCAAACTGACAAGTGGTTGGAATTCCCTTAGCATAAACCAAGCTACTGGGTTGCAGTTTTATGAAGTGGAATAGTAGGAATTAGGATGAACCTGCTAGATTCATTTTTACTTATGGTCAGAGACAGAATCCGAACCCAGGTCCCTGAAGGTGAATAGGTTCCTGCACTAACCCAGTGCATCATCCAGGCCCTATGTTTTAATGGTTAAAAATAAGGATTAAAGCTGATCATATTAGGTAAGAGGGAGCTGTTCCCCAATCTCTGAGCTAGTCCCAAAGCACAAATTAGAGCAGTCTAAGGGCTACTCTAACTTGTTTTAGCTATCAAGGGGCCAATACAGGAGCCAAGGGTTACCTTAACTTCACCTCCTGTGCTAAATGCAAAGGGCGGGGGGCGAGTGTAGGAACTGCTATGATGGCTCTGCACTACCCAAGGACCTCACTATGCATGGAGAATCCTGAAGCAGCCTAAAACTGGTTAAAAAGGGCACTGATGGAGTGATACAAAGCTGCCCTAATGCAGGGAAAGATCTGACCTGTAATTTCTGGGACACAAAAATGTAAGTGCAAAATTTAGGTTTAATAAAATAAAGAATTTACAAAACTGAACATTTTCATCATCACCTTTCCTTCAGTTTTAACAAACAGAGCATTTAGATTGGATTTACATGTTACCCTGCGTTGTGGTTGTGGTGCTTAAGAACCATAAAATAACTGAATATTTTCATTGTCCACTTTCACTAGAGAAAGTAAATATGGAAGTGTTATTTAATCCTTCTCATAACACAAGAACTAGGGGTCACCAAATGAAATTAATAGGCAGCAGGTTTAAAACAAACAGAAGTATTTCTTCATACAATGGACAGTCAGCCTGTGGAACTTCTTGCCAGAGGATATTTTGAAGGCCAAGACTATAACGGGGTTCAAAAAAGAACTAGATAAGTTCATGGAGGATAGGTCTATAAATGGCTATTAGCCAGGATGGGCAACAATGGTGTCCCTAGCTTTTGTTTGCCAGAAACTGGGAATGAGCAACAGGGGATGGATCACTTGATGATTATCTGTTCTGTTCATTCCCTCTAGGGCACCTGGCACTGGCCACTGTCGGAAGATAGGATATTTGAGCTAGATGGACCTTTGGTCTGGCGTAGAATGGCCGTTCTTATGTTCCAAAGCTAAGTGTAGTGGAAATAGTAAACAAGAATTATTAATGGATAAAAATACATTAATTATATTTTGTATTGGTTTTATTAACAAACAAGACACGACATGTTTAAAATAAATTGTTTTTAACCTGATGGTGCCATTTTAAATGGCAAACAACTGAATTCAGATTTTGATTGTTCAACTAGGATGACACCAAGGTGGAAGGTACGTTAGGTTCCACCCCACACTGCTGGAGTCACAGATGCAACTGATGGCCAAAGAGAGCAATCAGCAGCAGGAGGCACAGAAATGCAGATTTTAATCAAAATCTAAATTCAGACTGAAAGTGAGAGAGTGTGGGAGTGTGACTGTGTGGAATTGCTTCTTACAGGGCATTAAGGTTACAGGACACTGCACTGACCAAAATAGGTGAGAACTCTATCCAAACTGACTAGCAAAGTGAGAAAGTTTGTTGAGTGCACTATTTTTATTCAGTCATCATTTTTCATGGCACCATGGCATGTCCAGGGGAGCTGGGTGGGGGGAGAAGAGATAAAGCACAAGACAGTAGAGACCCATCACTGCACAAAATGCTGGTGCTTTTAACATGATCTCCACTTTCATGACATCCTCCTGTGCTTTTTTAAAAACATACATTTTTATGCTTTCCTATAACCCCTATTTGCATTGTATCTGACAGTCTCTCAAATACTAATGAATTTATCCTCACAACACCCTTGTGATATGGGAAAGTGCTGTTATCCCTATTTTATAGATGGGAAACTAAAGCACAGAGAGACTAAGTCATTTGCCCAAGGTCACACAGGAATACCGTGGCAGTGCCAGAAACAAACCCCAGATTTTCCTAATCCTACTCCAATGCCTCAACCACCAGACCATCTTTCCTCTCTGGATGCTTGTTTCTTGCCTTGGGTATTTAAAAAAAAATTTAAAAATACATCTCAAGTTGACAGCAGTCAGAATGATTTCTCCGGCTGACAGCTAAGAGGATTGTTGCATAATGGAAGCTCTTGGTGCACCGTACACTTAAGGATAAATTTTCAGTTTTGCAACAGGATTTTAGCTGCACAATTCTTGTTATAAAAGAGTCAAATAGCTGAACCCCTGGGTAGTGCTTTGAAAAGTTTAGAAGTTACGAACAAAACAAAACGTATCATTATGATGAGCAAAGTGACTAACAATACCTTGTCACTGCCCATTTCTTCTTCCTGTTTCTCCCAAATCAACTCTGCTTAGTTCACTGACAAACCCAAGTTTTTACTATTATCAGCACTACAGAGCAAATCTGGATTCTGTTCTGCCTCATCAACAAAACTGCCTGCTAAATTCCAGAAACTATTGTTAGTGATGATGCATGAAGCAGAATGGGAAAGGAAAAAGAAAAAAAAAGGTCAAACTGTTTCCTACATGAGGAGGAACTCACAGTGCACTTTATAAATATCTGAACTGAACAAATTGGATCTGGGAGACACAAAGTAAACTGAGCTTTCTATAGCATCCTTCATACTAAACAGAGGTGGCATAATGCCAGAGAATAAATACAGAACATAGAGATGTAGTTTTAGTCACTTCTCTGGCCATCACCAAGCTTTAAGGAAACTCTGCATTTCCCAGATTCAGGAATAGCCTCTTTAGTGTGAGATCAAACATTACAAAGGGTTTTTGTTCCTGTGTTATTTACACGTTGAAGGGAAGAGGGAAAAATAAGAGTTTTTCAGGAAACCTTCCTTCCCCAAAGAAATATTTTACCAGGAAAGTGCCCCTTTTGCATACCAAAAGAGAAAACAGGGTCTTTTCCAATTTATAACCGAGCTGTGTAAATTTCTGACTCACATGTCAGATACACAGTCTCCCAGCTAGTCGGGCAATGGGAAACAAGTCCAGCTACAGTTTGAGCGATGCCCTCAGCAAACTAAATCAAACCCGTCAAGAACTTTCAAGTGGCAAGGCCAGACAGGAATTGGCCAGAAGCACCACATTCGTTCAAAATCCACAGTAGTCCAGCTAATCCCTTTGGCAAGATATGGACAGAAGCAGCCCTGGACAGTGTGGAACCAAAAATGACCCACACAGGCGAATGTTCACTTTTACAAGTCAGCCAATATACACCCCAGCAGTGAACATAAAAGTTGCCAACAACTTGGAGGAAAAGTAATGGAGTCGGTGAATGACAGGAGCACAGTGAACTATGAATGGAAGGATGGTGTAAGATGAGAAGCGTTGACATTTGCTTTTTCCCTTCAGATGGGAGGTCTTAAAATTGAAACTATAAACATTTAATAAGTGTATTCATTAAAACTGTTAGTGGGGAAAAACATTCCTCCTAATGCAAGAGAGATGGGGGATGTTGGAAATTAACCATTACTGCAGTACCTTCAATACAACAGTCTACAGGGTGAACCAGCAAAGAAATCAGGAGACACTAACAAGGGCAAAAGGGCAAAAATGGAGGAAGTCCTGAGGATAACATAAGATACCCATCCCCCATATCCCAGAAAAAAAAAAGTTTTGATTTCGCATTGATGAACTCACTCAAAGTACTCAGGGAATAAAGGGTTAAGTTTCCGAAAGTGAGAAGTTCTGGGTGGCATTCCTTTGGGATGGAAAGAAAGGAAGAGGAGGAATCAGCAGTATAATGAACTGAATAGCTTCCTCTAAATACACACAACATTAAGAAGTAGTATCAAAAAGAAGTTTGGCAGCGGAATAGAAACCAAGGAGGTACAGGAGCAAATGAATTAAGGTTATGCTTCTCCAGAAGAGAACATGTTACACTGCAGGGCACACAGAGTCATGGAGACAGGTCACAAGTGGGACTAGTACCCAGGTTCCCCCAGAGTTACTCAAGTGAGTGCTCTGGCCACTGAGGAAAAGCAACTCAGACTGAGCAGAGACTCTTACCTGTCTCCCACTATTCCTTGCAGTTTCTAAAATGCGAGTGATCGCAAGTATTTGAGACACCATATTACAACTGCTTACTTGCTGTGCACACATAAGCCCTTTGTGAGCTGGGATCAGGCTGAAGGGAGGGGAACAGGGAAAATGCCATCTCCACTGAGCATAAATCCACTAGTCCCTGGCCCCTTTGCTGTTTGCAATAAATATCCAATTGGTGATGGAGGTACGTTCTCACTTGTGTATGGTTTGACAGGGTGCCTCTAAAGTGCGAGATGCCAAGGTTCCACTTGGAGTGTTCCTCAGCTCTGTATAATTTGACAAGGGCATCCATTCAGTCACAGAGCAGGGAAATAGGAGTTAAAAAAAAAAAGGGGGGGGAGCAGGGTTGGGGAGCTAGTCTTCTTATCCTTTGGCACTTGGAAGATGAGGTGGGGAGTCTGATGGAGACTGCTGCTACCGCTGCCTCTTCCACCTTTCAGTTACTGATCCTATTAGCAGAATCGAGTATGCACAGGTATCAGGAATTGCTGCCTCTCCATGGTTATGCTCTGGGGTAATCAGATGTCCATCTCAAACTGAGCATCATCCCCTGGCAACAGAAAAAGGAGAGCAGCATTAGAGAGAGATCTCAGAAAGCCCTCAAGAGGAAAGACAATCCCTACATACCTCCCAACCCTATTTCCTAATATAACTTCTGGTAAATAATATAATGGAAGATTTCATTCCCATAATTAACCTTGCACAGCAGATAGGGCAAATTAGATAATCCATTATGGAAGAACATGCTCTTCTTGGGAGATGCTGCAATCACTTGCAGTGTGCATTAAGGACAGAGTGGACAGCCCTGTCTCAGTAATCATTAGTTTAAGTTGGCAGCCTTTAAAAAAAAAAAAAATCACCAAAATGTCACAAATTTTTGTCAATTTATTTTATGTTCTTTATTTGTAAAAGGCCCTATGAAGCTCAGTAACAGCCTTGACTTCAATACAAATGTCCTAGTTATTGCTAAATATTAATTAATGCATGTACAGTCCTATGAACACGTAAAGAGCTGTATTACTGCAAAAGACACTTTGTCCCCTTGAAGTTACAAGCATTGACTCTTGCTACCCACATCTGATTTTAAAAAAAAGATAGTCTGAAAGCCACCCAGTGGTCCATTGTCTATGGGGAGATATGATACAGCAGGAAACAGTTACCGGTTTAATCACATCCCTGTACACATAGGAGTTTTTGATCTTCAAATGTGCTTTCTGCATTTTTTATAAAAGCTTTTCTACCACGGCAAGAATGGCCTGCACATTGGCACTCATCTACCCAAATGCTCCCTGCTTCAAAAATCAATCAATCCTGACCCAACAAACAAAAAACACCCCTTCCCCCCCCCCAAACAAATTTTTCCCAAAAGAGGGAGGAATTCCAAAAACTTCATGAAGTCCACTAGGGACTTCACTATGGCTAGCAATTTTCTATGGAAGATGCTTAGGAGCAATGGATGGCAGTATAAAGTTCTTACAGCTATTAGGAATGTAAATATCATTTAAAAGGTTAACCAATTAAAGGGAGAAGGGCTGGGGTTGCTCTGGGCAGTGAGACAGGTGCTGGGTCGTCGGCTGGCTGGCGGGGTGGGACCGGGCGCAATGTGTGGTGCTGCACAGCCAGGATCTGGCCAGCACAGCCGTGGTCCAGCCGGCTGTGTGTGGATTAACAGTTAAGGTCCATTAACTGGTAAGCCTAATGCCTACTGGTTAACCCGTTAACATTTTACATCCCTAACAGATATACAAAACCCCTCTAAACGTATTATTTCATATGACGGACTCAGGGTGCAAAGCTTCATGGGGGGGAAGGGGAAGAGGAAAATGAAGCCATATGTATGTTAAATATTTCTGAAACCAGACGAGTCTTTTTTACTTTCCCTGAGACTTAAGCAACAATTACTGAACTACTATGGGGGGAAAAAAAATCACTCTGAAAAAGGAAACCTACTGTACATACTAAATTTCAGGCTGCAGGTATTTATATATAATGAGCCCATCACTGATATCTGAGCACAAGATCTGCTAAAGTCAAAAATAAGGGAGCTATAAAGAAGTTAACCAGAGTATCAACCACTACCATCACCCAGTCTCTCTTACCCATTGCAGTCTTCCTGTCATGATTGTTCAGATTGTTTATTTCCACTTTGGAATCCTCAACCATGGTACCAGGACTGGTAACTCCTGGAATATTTGGGAGATGGCATGGTGGGGTCTGAGCCATGGGGGAATTGCGGCGATCCAACAGAAACTTACGGTCGTAGATGATTCGGGTACCTAGCACACAGTCAGACAAAAGGAGAAAAATCAGCATGTAAGAATATATACAGAACGTGAGTTGATAATGACATGTCAACGTGAGCAGGCTTTAGGTGGGCAAACTTTTTGGCCTGAGGGCCACATCTGGCTATGGAAATTGTATGGTGGGCCACGAATGCTCACAAAATTGGGGGTTGGGGTGTGGGAAGGGCTGAGGGCTCTGGCTGGGGGTGCAGGCTCTGGGGTGGGGCCAGAAATGACGAGTTCAGGGTGCAGGAGGGTGCTCCGAGCTGGGACTGAGGGGGATCAGGGGTGCAGGGTCTGGGTGGTGCTTACGTCAAGCAGCTCCTGGAAGGAGCGGCATGTCCCCCCCTCCGGCTCCTTTGTAGAGGCATCGCCAGGCAGCTCTGTGCGCCGCCCTGTCTGCAGACACCACCCCTGCAACTCCCATTGGCCGCGGTTCCTGGCCAATGGGAGCTGCGGGGGCAGCGCGCGCAGAGCCTCCTGGCTGCCCGCATGTGTAAAAGCTGGAAGGAGACATGCCGCTGCCTCTGGGAGCCACGCAAAGTGGGGCAAGCCCGACTTCACTCCCTGGCCGGAGCGGGCCAAGCCCCGGACCCTGCTCCCCAGCGGGAGCTCGAGGGCCGGATTAAAACATCTGGAGGGCTGGATGCAGCCCCTGAGCTGTAGTTTGCCCACCCCTAGTTGAGACGAAGGAACCACTTGGAGTCCCATTCTCTAGGCTGGTAAAATGAAAAGAAATGAAGAGAAGCATTTGGGCTTGGGAGAGGATGTGTCAACTCCAATCACTTCCTGTTGCTCTATTTACACAATGGCACTGCCTTTTAACTCTGTTCAAAGGCCAGTTTTCCCCCACTCCTGCAATCCTAAAGAGGCACCGATTAAATGCATGTCACCAGACCATATAGGAAAGAAAGCCCCAACACCCTACATTCAGGTGGTCTCAAGTCAGAACTATGTCCAGCACTGGAGAATCCACCCTTGAGCCAACTCATGGTGCCCTCAAAATGAAAGGATATAAAAAAAGTCTTAACTTGAAACCAGTCCTATTTAATAACAACTCTCTCTCCCCCCATTCCACATTTCAGTCTTGTTCTGTTACCTAAGGAAGTAATAAAGGCAAGGAACTGCTGGGCAACTTCATTTCAAACTGTTCAGTGTTCTCTCAAACTGTACAACAAATATCAACATTCCATATTTCCCCACCTTATAAACACCAAATAAACGTAAGTAGACTCGCTTCAGTTTAACATTATAGACGCAACGAAGTCCAAACCAGACTTATTGACCATCCTTAACTTTTACAACTTTTTTGTTGTTATTAATGCAGTGTTTGTGAAAGGAAACTGACAGCTCTGGACACTGAAGTCTTCTATTTATCCATAGTCTCAGATGACATGGACAGGATAATGCAAGTATCCTCTCCAAAGTGCTCCCAGTGTAACCTGGTGGGACTTCTAGGGGATGAGGGGAAAGGACAGTTGTATCAAGCTGTACAATGAGATACTAGTTGTCACCCTTGCTGGCCTCTGTATCGATGAGCGTTAATCATGGTGACAGTTTTGTGATGTGGACTGCTTCCCACTCGTACGATTACCTGTACTGAGCCCATTTAGAAAGGATCGAGTGAGTGAAAGGGGATGGGGAGTAGCATTCTATGTCAAAAATGGCATTACCTGTTTCCAAGTCTCACTCACTCACTCTCTCTCTCACACACACACACACGGTGCTTCAATAAGGCCAATTTCACAAAGCTGAAAATAATTATGAGCCAAATCAGCTGAGAGGAGTAATTTAATCAGAAAAATGTGAATGTAATTGGGAATCATTTAACACCACCTTACTTACTGCCCAATAAGCTACAATCCCACAACTGGAGGAAGAAGGCTGTGCGGGTTAAAAAACAACCTAGTTTAGAGAGGAAGCAAAGGTAGCTGTAAAAAATAACAAATGGAAGAAAGCAGAAGCTGATGGTAATGAATATAAATCAGAAGTTAGGAATTGTAGAAAACTGATAAGGGAAGCCAAGGGACACAGAGAAATCTATGGCCAACAGATTTAAGGACAATAATGAGTTGAATACATATATTAGGAACAAAAAGAATACTGACAATGTTACTGGCCCATTTCTAGATGGAAATGATAGAATTATCAATAATAATGCAGAAAAGGCAGAAGTGTTGAAGAAATATTTCTCATAATACGGTGATAACACTCATTCCATTCTACGAGTATCTCTGGATAATGTTAAGCAGAAACTAAACAGTTTTAAGTCAGCAGGTCCAGATAACCTGTGTCCAAGAGTTTTGACAGAGCTGGCTGAGTAGCTTGCTGAACTGTTAATGTTGATTTTCAAGAAGTCTTGGAACAATGGACAAGTTCCAGTAGACTGGAAGAAAGTTAACATAGTACCAATTTTTAATAAGGGTAAATGGAATGATCCAGGTAATTATAGACCTGTCAACATGACATTGGTCCCGGCCAAGATGTGGAACCTGATTAATAAAGAACTAAAGGAGGTAATGTAATTAATAACCCTCGGCATGGGTTTATGGAAAAGATCCTGTCAAACTAGCTTGATCTCTTTTTGATGAGATTATAAGTCTGGTTGATAATGGTCATAGTACTCATGTCATATACTTGGACTTTTGTAAGCATTTGACTTGTTACCACATGACATTTTGATTAAAAAACCTAGAAAGATATAAAATTAACATGGCACACATTAAATGGATTAAAAACTGGCTAACTGATAGTTCTCAAAATGTAACTGTAAATGGGGAATTCTCATTGAATAGGTCTGTTTTTAGTGGGGTCCTGCAAGCATTGGTTCTTGGCTCTATGCTACAACAGGGGTGGCCAACCTGTGGCTCCGGAGCCGCATGCGGCTCTTCAGAAGTTAATATGCGGCTCCTTGTATAGGCACCGACTCTGGGGCTGGAGCTACAGGCGCCAACTTTCCAATGTGCTGGAGGGTGCTCACTGCTCAACTCCTGGCTCTGCCACAGGCCCTGCCCCCCCTCCACCTTCCCGCCCCTGAGCCTGCCATGCCCTTGCTCCCCCCCAAGCCTCCTGCACACCACAAAACAGCTGATCGGGAGGTGCTCATCGGCGGGACTGCCAGTGGGTGGGAGGAGCTGGCAGCAGGGGAGTGGAGCTGATGTGGGGCTGCTGACGTATTACTCTGGCTCTTTGGCAATGTACGTTGGTATATTCCGGCTCCTTCTCAGGCTCAGGTTGGCCACCCCTGCCATATAACATCTTTATCAATGACCTGGAAGAAAACATGAAGTCACCACTGATAAAGTTGGCAGGTGACAAAAATTGGGGGGGTGGTAAATAATGAAGAGAACAGGTCACTGACTGAGCGATCCAGTTCACTCAATGAACTGGACACAAGCAAACAATATGCATTTTAATATGGCTAAATGAAAGTATCTACATCTGGGGAAAAAGGAGAAGGCCATACTTACAGGATACTTACAGAGTTTAACCAGAACGTCGGGGGGGGGGGGGGCGGGGGAAAAAACAAGGGGAAATAGGTTACCTTGCATAATGACTTAGCCACTCCCAGTCTCTATTTCAGCCTAAATTAATAGTATCCAATTTGCAAATGAAATCCAATTCAGCAGTTTCTCGCTAGAGTCTGGATTTGAAGTTTTTTTGTTGTAAGATAGCGACCTTCATGTCTGTAATTGCGTGACCAGAGAGATAACACCATCCTGGCCACTATGGATGTAGAAGCCCTCTACACCAACATTCCACACAAAGATGGACTACAAGCCGTCAAGAACACTATCCCCGATAATGTCACGGCTAACCTGGTGGCTGAACTTTGTGACTTTGTCCTTACCCATAACTATTTTACATTTGGGGACAATGTATACCTTCAGACCAGCAGCACTGGGTACCCGCATGGCCCCACAGTATGCCAACATTTTTATGGCTGATTTAGAACTAACGCTTCCTCAGCTCTTGTCCCCTAACGCCCCTACTCTACTTGCGCTATATTGATGACATCTTCATCATCTGGACCCATGGAAAAGAATTCCACCATGATTTCAACAATTTCCATCCCACCATCAACCTCAGCCTGGTCCAGTCAACACAAGAGATCCACTTCCTGGACACTACAGTGCTAATAAACGATGGTCACATAAACACCACCCTATACCGGAAACCTACTGACCGCTATTCCTACCTACATGCCTCCAGCTTTCACCCTGACCACACCACACGATCCATCGTCTACAGCCAAGCTCTGCGATACAACCGCATTTGCTCCAACCCCTCAGACAGAGACAAACACCTACAAGAGCTCTATCAAGCATTCTTACAACTACAGTACCCACCTGCGGAAGTGAAGAAACAGATTGATAGAGCCAGAAGAGTTCCCAGAAGTCACCTACTACAGGACAGGCCTAACAAAGAAAATAACAGAACGCCACTAGCCGTCACCTTCAGCCCCCAACTAAAACCCCTCCAACGCATTATTAAGGATCTACAACCTATCCTGGAAGATGACCCAACACTCTCACAAATCCTGGGAGACAGGCCAGTCCTTGCCTACAGACAGCCCCGCAACCTGAAGCAAATACTCACCAGCAACCACATACCACACAACAGAACCACTAACCCAGGAACCTATCCTTGCAACAAAGCCCGTTGCCAACTATGCCCACATATCTATTCAGGGGACACCATCACAGGGCCGAATAACATCAGCCACACTATCTGAGGCTCGTTCACCTGCACATCCACCAATGTGATATATGCCATCATGTGCCAGCAATGCCCCCTGCCATGTACATTGGTCAAACTGGACAGTCTCTACGTAAAAGAATAAATGGACACAAATCAGATGTCAAGAATTATAACATTCATAAACCAGTCGGAGAACACTTCAATCTCTCTGGTCACGCAATTACAGACATGAAGGTCGCTATCTTACAACACAAAAACTTCAAATCCAGACTCCAGCGAGAAACTGCTGAATT